CAAATGCTAGGCTACCCAGGATAGGTTCTTATCAAATACTAATTAATAAATACTGCCATTGAAAAACTGTACTCAAAAAGCAGTTGCCAAATTTATGCTGTGAGTAAGCGTTGCTCCAGCACCCTCTTGTAATGTAAATTAGATGGTTAAGAAGGTCACGTGAACCATGGATTTATATTACATTTCCCACTTCTTCCCCTACAAGTTTTCTCCTCTTAGGACAGAAAATTGTCCTGGGATGATACTTTACCTGATGCTTATTTTACTATCCCAGGGACATTTCTTCTGTTACTGTATCTTTCTGATGCCACCAGCTTAAAATGACTGATCTACAATTCCCCTGCTGTGCTGAGCACTTGTAGCCTTGATGGGGCAGTTGCCAAGGGGGATTCTTCTCCCCTGCCATTACATTCAGCGTTACCAGACCCGGCGCTTGCCCTTGCAGGAGAGTAATAAAGCTAAAACCTGTAACTCCAGCGGGCTCCACAGCCTGTGCCAGGCAGCAGGCGCTACAGCCTGGTTTTGTTCCTCACTGTTCCCCTGCAAAACTGCCAGTGGCATCTCGAGTCTATACAAGGGGAAAAATCCCGGATGATAGTAAACACAACCCTGAAACTTCAAATATTTTTTTTCCAGGAAAACAGGAGAGCTGCCAGAACACACGACAGAGACTTTTTGTCACCCTCCAGCTTCTCAGCCTCTGGTTTCTTAATGTGTGGGCAGCCCGGCATGAGGCTGGCACCCCTCTGCAGTCCCCCGCCACGTGTCTGTTGTCAGGGGCATCATCTGCACCTTTCCCACGTGCCAAGTTACGCTGCAGAGTTGCTGTATGGAGCCCATGTGCCATTTTTAGTGACACTGAAAATGTATTAGGGATGAAAGGTCTTTTTTCTGAATAATTTCCTTCCTCTGAGGATGGCTGCTGGCACACCAAACACACATGCCGTTCTCTGGGCTCTCCTTCATCCACATCTCCCATGAATCCCCTAAAACAATTGCTAATGGCTCAGAGCTCGCTTTAGCTTAATTCTCGTTACTGGAGCAATGGTCTGAAAGGAGCAAACCATCCTGCTGGTGATGCATGAGAAGGGAGAGAGCCCTGCTGCCCTCTCTACAGCACATTTGCTCTGCTGGGTTAATGGGAGTTTTAAAAGAAGAGGGAATGCTTTTTTTTTTTAAAGTCACCAACACAAAAAGCTGTTGGTATGACCAAACAAAACCAAGCACTGCCCGTGTTCAGCAATGGGCTCTTTACAGCCACTTCCTAGAGCAAAGCTACACTGCAACACACGAGGCGGGCTCGGATCAAACAGTGTGTTTACCTCATCTTTTTAAGAGCAGGAAGACAACCGAGTGCAGAGGGAACAGCAATTCTCTCCCCGTACCTGAGTGCTCTTGTTGATGTACCGGCGTATGATGTCTCTAATGTTGCTGTTCTTCTCCGTTTGGAAATACACAGTGGCGGTGGATTTTTCCTTTAAATAGGGCTTCTCCGCTGTAATCCATGTGTGCAGCAGGGCTGGCTCACTGTTGTCAGAAATGGTGGGGAAGTAGGTCCCTGAAGGGAGCGACCCGGCATCGTTCTGGTTTGGAGCAGCTGCCCCGTCAGCGCTGAGGGACTCCTGCGCATAATAGGACTCCCTGGCATTATCCTTGATGTACTGAGCTTCCACCGAGGAGAGGAAATCCACCTCCCCCTCTTTGCTTAAAGTTTCAAGGTAGGACTCTGTCCCACCGTCCAGGAAGGCGTCGGTGGCCAACCTTATGCTTTCGTTGTGGCTGAAATCCGCTTTTGTCAGCTTCGGGGACTGGTTCTTGATATCCTCCAGCCTTTTCCTTATCTTGCCCATATGTCTGGAGTGGCTCATGGCTCTTTGTCGCAGCAGTCGATCTGCCGAGCAGGCACCATGCGTATGCGCGGTGCAGGCAGCGCAATCGTCCTTCTTGTTTGGAGACTGCATTCTGGCGTGAAATTGCCTCGGCTGAATGAATTAACTATGAATAAAAATAAAGAGATCTTATTACCTCAGGCAAATTCACACTCCCTGATTTCGTCGGTACAATTATCTTCAAAAAAAACCCGAAGCGAAGCTTGCTTCTCAGGTGGTGGTGTACTTCAGCAACAATCTGTCTCCAGATGGGACACAAGTGCAAAGCTGATTAGATTGCTTATCTGAGAGGTACCCACCTCACCCCCAGGGCATACGAAGGATTCGCGTCCAATTACCAGGGCCGTGGGATTCGGTTGTATTTCCCTTCCTGTTGCATCCTGTGAAATGTGAGTGAGGAAAGCACTCAAGCAAAAGCAGGTAGGCTCCCAAGCATCGTTGCACAATCTTCAAAACAGCTTGAGGCTTCTCTGTCTTCCCATAGTATTTGCTAGGGAGCAAAACCAACTCTGATGTTGAACTGGGACAGAGACATCAGCCATGTCCATAGCTTCAGAACAGCAGAGAGGGTCATGGACTCTTGTCTTTACCTACATGCTGCCACACAGGCTTAAAAATGGACTTGAACTTCGTCACTGTGCCCCGTTCATAGTATGTTGCTATTACCATAGACGATTCACTCATTTACTTCTTTAAAGCTTTGTGACTACGCCATCCTATTAAAAGAAAAATACCCCTTCCCAAACATCCTGAATATTATGTGGAAGGAGGGTTGTGACCTGGCCTCAAAGCATCAGAAATACAAACACTCATCACTTGATTGTGCACATTTAGGGCTGTTTGGTTGGTTCCTTTTTTTTTTTTTTCCAGGCTGCAGCTTCTGGAGTCACGTTGTCCCCGTGGCAGCTCAGCTGCTGTGTCATTAGCAGGACGGAGGCGCAGGTTCGCAGCGGGGTGAGAGGCGCAGTGCCTCCGGGGAGCCAGGCCGACTGGTATGACTGCGCCGGGGCGAGGGGAGGCAGGGTGGAAAGGCACCCTGCCTGAGGTACGCCATAAATACCTGTGTGCATGCTTTTACACAGAGGCACGTGTGACACAGTTTTCTCACGCGGGCTGAGTTTGCCTGCGCCCTGAGTATCTCTGCGTCTGTAAAACGGTGTGCCGTGGCTCCGGAGGAGAGCACAGGATCAAGGGGACACACCAGTCTGGGCTCTTGCACGGGAATAGGGACTGCTGAGGGCAGT